TACGGATCGGCACGTGTCGGCACTGTTGTGTGCGGATAGGCCTTTAGAGTTGTGACAAAATTACTTTTGCATCATTCTTACGAATACGCGTGCAAGTTCTATTGTGACACTTGTAACATTTTCAAATTTTGTTGAAGGATGACATAACTAGCAATAATGCTCATATAACATTATAGTACATTATGATACAAGTGTGCTAAGTTGGTCATTACACACGAGGCGTTATTACTCGCGCGAGCCGCAGGCGAGCGCGATAAGAAAGCCGAGAGTGTAATGATCAAAGCACACGTGTTTCATACGACGTTTTTCAACACATTTGCGAGGAAAATGAAACAAACTTGAGTAAAATGGAAATGAAAAATAGCTTTATTTGGCATTAATTATACAGATACACTGAATACTATATTAAGCTCACGTTAATGTAAATAATATTATTCTATTCTATACTATATCTATCAATAGCAATTAATTAAGAGTCTCCAAAGCCTATCAAAGTCATTGTATCTTGATTTTATCAAAAATGTAGTTATTTAAATTTAATTATTAAAACAATTGTTAAATGTACAATTTTCAAAATGGTAACGTGCAGTTTTGTTAGGCATTTGAACCGTCTGTGTGATATTATTTGTTACTATTTCATTATTGTCTTCTTGCGTAAAAGTCGGTGATACGGGTTCATTGTGTACAAATATGGATGAAAGTGGTGGTGGTTCATTTAAAGACTCAGAAATAGACAATCTAGGTAACAAATAACTTGTATCACGGGAGGTGGATGGCTGCGGTTCAGGACACATCTTCTTAACCTGGGGCTCCAGATTTATAGCGTGGGTTATTTGAGTACATATGTTGGACTTATTTCGAACTGAATCTTCAACATAAGACTCAGCAACTGTGCTAGATCGCCAGCCACCATGACGCTTTAAAGTAAGCAAATCAGCTCCCGAGTCAGCTAGCAATGTAGCTGATGTTCTTCGGAAACTATGCCCAGTGTATAAATCCGGGTCGGGTAGATTTAAAAACTTGGCAATTTCTTTAGGCATTGCACCAAATTTATTAATGCCTATTGGCTGAGCCACGCATCTACCCTTCTGGTAGTTTTGAAAAAACCGATCGGATTTTGCCTTATCTGTCCTAAGCGCTTCGTACTTTTTTACTATGTCGTAAAATGGACCGTGAATGGCAAACGATCTCGGTACCTTATTTTTAGTGTTGTTAATTTTAATCAAAAGCATTTGGCCATGAGTTTCTACGTCTTTTGCCGTTACTTCGCTTAGTTCTTGGCGTCTACACGCGCCAGTGACACCAAATATCATTGCAACCTGTAAAGAAATTAAAAATATAGGTATTTTCGCAAATATAATACAAGAAAAATGAAAACATAAAAAAATTAAGGTTTAATACGATCAACTGACCTTTGTTGCTAAATACTGATAATCGGGGGCTTCTTTTAAAAACTTTTCTACGTCAGTTGGCGAAAGTACCTTCGATTTTCTTGCAACATACCCATCAGAGCGTCTCTTTAAAAATGCCGTCAGATTTGAATAGTTTTTTATGTCTATGTTATTCTTGTTCTTTACTGTGGTCTTTAACATAGAATAAATGCACCAGAGCGAGCTGGGCTTAAACCTATTCGCCAGTTCATTAAAATAGGCAAGAAAAACATTTTCTGAAAACGAAGACGCTTTTTTGTTGGTTTTCCATTGTATAAAAGTTTCATATGCAGCCATGTATTTTTCTCTGGATTTCGAAGGTAATAAACTGTCACTTGCGTTTTGTGCCTCTGTGAGGATTTCGGGCGGTGTTAAATCCATCAAAATGTTTTCTTCCGTGCTTGAGCAGGACATTTTAAACACCTAGGTAATTATCTAACACACAGCGTATATAAATGTTTCGAACGTATCAATGGAAATTGGCGCGCAGAGTTATTTTTTCTGCGCCTGGCGCCGCGGCGCGGATATGCGCGCGCAGGTGCTTCGGCAATAATGAGACTTAGGTGAAATTCCTAAACAGCCAATGCGAAATAATATAAATATGTCCTTATTTCACTCAAATTCGTGTAAAATATTATCCAAAATAAGTAATTTTATTCAATTAAAGTTTTATAGGTGTATATTGTGTATGTTTTTCTATATTTATCACATCAAATAAGAAATATAAATTTATTAATAAAAATATTATTTGTAAGGTAAGACTACACAACCGTATTAAACAGAAATAAAAAAAAAAACTGTGACCCTGTTTGTTTGGGATTACTGTCATTGTAATTTGAATCTTATAATATGTAGGTTAGAGCTGTTTTTTTAATAGACCAAGTTAATTTCAAAGACATAACCCGGATAATTTAAGAATGCATAGTTTTAATACATAGGCCTTGTTGTGAGATACATCTTAATCCGGTTAAGCCTATACTTATTACACACACGTTTTGTAATATAATTACAAACGCGTGTTCAATAGCTAGGTTTATGAGCCTAAAAGCGATACAATAAGAAGCCCGTTACGAGCAAATGTGTTGAAAAGAATTTTCTGAAACAGCGACACAATTGTTATAAGGATAATATTAACCAAAACTTTTTTATTGCTTTTCTGCATTAACTGGTTTTGTGTTAAACTAATAAGATAGAATTTTTCTATATAACAACACATTTTTGGTTATGATATTAGAGCACTATGCAAATTAGTGATACATTCAAAGAAATAAAATTAATAATCAAATAAAATCTTTTAACATAACAACCAAACATACAAAATAAACCAAAGTAGTAAACAATAAACTCAAATATTAAAGGAAACAACAATTTCTTCCTAAAATAAATAAAAGTAGAAAACAATCAATTAGTGTCTGCTCATCATAGCCAAGTATTAAAATACTTTAAACTCGATAAAATATGAATTATGAATAACCATAAAAAAATTCTAACACACTTATTGTTAGTAATTATTTCTTAAAAGTAATTATAAGCAAGGCGGAATTTTTAATCATTACACATTACAAATAGGAACTATCGCATAACAAGTCTTTTTTCTAGGAACTATCGTATAATCTGACTTTTTTCAATTACGTATAAGAAACTAAAGATTTTCAAAAAACGACTTATAAAATCTTGGCACAATATTTTTCCTTATAAGATCAAGCAACCTCTTTTTCTTCTTCTCACACACTTGTAACTTTTCTCTATATGCATTTTTTTAATTTATATTGCTTACATTGTTTCTGGTTTTTCCAACTTTATCTATTATTACCGTTTTGAACTCTGTGTCTTCGTACGATGTTTTATATGAATAAGAATAGTTACTGTCATCTGTCGATTCCACTTTCAAAATTTTTATGTCTCCTAGTTTCACTATTCCTTTTTCTACGTTCTTGGAAAAATTTTTGCCTATAGAGGCCGCTAATGCTTTTATGTCAATGAAATTATCGTGTGTTAATTCATTCACATTATAGGATTTGCCAGTTTTTCTGGCATTTCTTATTATGTGTACATACTGGTCAGGGATGTATATAGGTCCCGACTTTAGAGCTTTATTTATACCTCTTTCGATGAGAGAGTGTGTGTTATCCCCCTCATTTTGTGTGTGGCCTTTAATGAGGTATTTGTGTGTGATGGAATTTATAAAATCCAGATGGTAAACTGCATATACATAAAGGGCTATTATATAATGATGCTTTTGTTGCCCGCAACAATTGTCAGAAAAGAAAATCAAATCTACTTTAGAATCAAGTTCCGTGGATAGATCTTTTAAGTTTTGTATATATTTGAGCAAACATGTTCCTATTTCTGTTGCCCCACGTTTGCCTTCCCCTTCATGCCAGATATAACAAGCAGTGTCTTTAGATTTTAAGTTACAAATTGTGAAGTTATAGACATTTAACTTTGATACATAATAAAAGTTTGATGCGTCTCCTCTGGGACATGGCATTGCAGCTTGCAAATCATAAACAGCTACGATACAATTGTCAGGGGTGTACTTTTTGTCGTCTTCTTTATTCTGTCTCGCCAGATTTTTTTCTTTCAGATGAGTATCAAATTTATCTTGTAAATATATTTTGTCATTTTCTGTAGCATTGCTGAAAGATATGCAGTCTTCGCACATCTTTTTTTGGTTGGAAAAAGGAAATGTTAAATTCACTATTAAAAATTTTGTAATACATCAAGTAATTTGTACTAGGTACACCTTTTGACTGACATTCAATTTCATAATCACGATACAAATCTGCCACAGTTTTGCTACCATCAATATAAAGCCTTTTTGTATCTGCACGACAATAATGACTTTCAATTTTAGGAATTGAGTTGATGTGTTGCCGAACACCCTCCTTTATAACAGGATCTATAGTAAAATGTTTACTGTGTTTACCTCTATTATCTAAATCTAGCAACGCACATGAATTATTACTTTTCTTTTTAAGTACTGTTCGGATTGTAGTGTCGGTTATATCTAACGTAGCTTTAAAAAATATTTTACATACTCGAATTCTTTCATCATTTAAAGTAAAATAAAATGCATTATTTTTCCCTCTGTTACTGTTATGCATTTTGTAGGAATATCTTGGTTCGATGACAGAAAGATGCCGTAAAATGAATTCACGCTGTCTTTGTAAATCTCCCATTGCCCAGTAGCTGTCAAAAATTTGTTTGCGCTGCGATTCCGTAATCTTTTCGACACATTTTTGTTTGCATTTATCGGTACACGGTGCTTTTAGTGACTTTTCGGGCACAATGATATTTCCTTTTTTGGAATTGGATAAGTAAGACTTACCAGAGTTTCTCAGGATCTTTGCTTTGTTGCGTAGCCAGTTACTGGGTGTAGCTTGTCTTTTTCGTCCTCTCTTTAAGATGACATTATTTTCGTCTACCAGATGCGGTGAACTAATATTTGGAGAAAATGTATGTCCTGAAACTATTACTGCCGAAAAATTACTAGAATTGTTTGTAGATCCTGAAGCATCTGGTCCAGAAGAATTTAAACGTGAAGGATTCTTTTCATTGGATGTTAATTCTGATTCTGATGAACTGTCTGAATCTGATGTGCTGCTAGAATTTGATGAACTGCTTGAATTGGATGAATTACTGCTAGATTCTGCTGGGTTAGGGATTACTTGCACTGGTGTTGGTTGATTCACGACATTTGGTGTTATATTAAAAGCATCATTATTCAAATCTAAGGAGTTGTTCTTATTGTTTGACGGATATTGTTCATTCGATTTCGGTTCATACAATAAGTCTGTCGGGACTTCTTGTGATTCGATATTTTTGGATATATTCTTATATTTTTTTCGATACTTCGTACTGGGAGTATTAATATCTTTATAACTCGGATCCTTAACACTGTCATCAGAACTAAAGTCTTCGCTTCCGTTCGAAAAATCTATATTTTCCTTTTCCTTTATGGATATTGGAGATAATGTACAGCGTTCTCGATCAATAACTTGCCTGGATGTTGAGGTACTCTTTTCATTATTTTCGTTATGTTTGACGTCCAAATTCATATTTTGAAATATTTGAAGTGTACGGCGATTCGGCACTGCAATAAAAGTAGATATTATTATTGTTAAATTAACAGTTTGGCCGGTATATTATTATTTATATTATAATAAAAAATGATCTTTATCCTTTGTACTAATATATTATATTATAATAATATATTTGTAATTTGTCATATGGATATTATTATTATTTTTAAGTTCAAAGTGGGAGAAACTTCCAAATTACTTATTAATTATTGTGAATAATACATTATCTTGTATACAGTTGCAAATAAAATAAAAATACTTTTAAAGAATACTATCTCATTTCAAAAATGTAAAACATAATTGCATTGGTTTTATCTTGAATACACAATTAAAACAAAATAACCATAAAAAGTCTACTCACTTTTTCTTGAAGATCGCAATGTCACTAATTGTTGCACTTTTCAAGAAAAATAGTTTGGAACTTTAAAGGAATTATTTCGTGAAGAATCATACAACTAAAAATGGAATACTATTGCAGAAACTTTTCGGTAATTACTACTAAATTATTTAGAGATGTAACATTCTTCAACAAATAATATATGTTTCTGCGTGCAAGGATTCGTAATAACTGGCGGCCGTTGATTGTTCTAGAAAAATGGCGTCGAAAATCGACCAATCACATAACGACATTTTGTGGCGCTGCCTCGCCGTCTTGGTCCATGTTGTTATGAGTTTTATTCCGTAAGTAGTACGGATTATTTTAAATCCTGCGGTGTCCTAAAGTAAAAATTTGAGAATTTTGGATTGTGTTATTATTCATGCAAAGCAGCGATTTGATAGGGTTCGCCATGAACATCTGATTCAGATTCTGGAACATATTGGAATTGACAGACATGACCTTAGAGTTATAATCAATCGGTACAGGTAGCAGAAATCAATAGTAAAAGTGGAAGACCTACAATCCAAATAAACTGAAATCAAACGTGGTTAAGACAAGGGTGCATATTATCACCTGTTTTATTTAATGTGTATGCAGAGAGAACAATGGCGGAATCTCTACATGACGCCGAAGAGGGTATAATGATAAACGCAGAAGTCATTAATAATATACACTACGCAGACGATAATATACTGATTGCGGAGAATATCGGAGACCTACAAAAACTATTGAATCGTGTAAATGTAGCAAGTAACAACTATGGATTAAAAATCAACACTAAAAAAACAAACTTCATAATCGTATCTAAAAGACCAGAGAAGCGAATGAATATTTGACTTTGGAAATAGGCGAAGAGAACGCGTACACCAATTTAAATACACGTAAATGAACACTGGGATAGCGTACAAGAAGTTCGTATTTGCATCAAACAAGCACGAAATGCCTTCATGAAAATGAAAAAGGTTTTGTGTTGTACAAGGTTCAGCCTTAAACTCCGCATGCCTTTGGTCCGCCGTTATGTCTTTAGTATCTTGCTGTTTGGTATGGATGTTGGACCTTGACCCCCAACATTATACTTAAAACTAGAGTCCTTTGAGATGTGGATGTACAGACGAATGCTTGGCATATCGTCGCTACTAATAGTCACCAATGTTGAGGTTCTTTCGTTCGAGGAAAAAAGTTGGAAATACTCAGAACTGTAAAGGAAAGGAAGCTGTAGTATTTTGGCCACGAAATAATGGGCAATAGATACTGGATTCTTCAATTAATAATGCAGAGAAAAATACAAGGAAAGCGTAGTCGTGGCAGAAAGAAAACCGCATGATTAAAGAATCGGAGAGACTGGTTTCATCTTAGCACAAGTTCCCTCTTTCGCGTGGCAGCTTCAAAAATGAGAATGGCCATGATGGTCGCCAACCTTCGTAGAGAAGCTGCACACTAACGCAGGGTACTCATTAGCGAGTTGTATCCGTAACCATTGCATATTAGGTAACTAAAAATCATAGCGTCGACGTCATTCGCGAGCTTGCCGCGAGCGGAACGCGTGCGGAACGCGTGCGGTTCGCAGTGAACCGTCTCATTGAAGACTGTTTCAAGCGTACACACTAGAACCTCGTTACTGTATCTGTCACGTTACAGTTACAGCTCGCTAATGAGTACCCGACTTTAGAAGAGTTTTTCCTCTCATTTATTTTGTAGAGATTTTTCGAGTTTTTATCTTAAAATATAAATCAAAATTATGTCCCACTTATCGGTTCCTACCACCAAGCTATATAAAGTCCTTAAATGTTTTTATAGGTTATTTACCAAACTTCTTAGTTGTGAAGGAGGTGACTGTCTAATGTAAATGCTTAATAGTGATCGCAAAGTATTCATAATAAATAACTCTAGGGTTGTTATACCGCTCGCAAAGTAATCGCCAGGCAATTAGATAACTGTCCTCGCAGTAGACCACTGAGGTTATAACTTAAGACACTATCCTATAGACAACTTCGGAAATATTTCAATTTATGAATAGGTTAATTTGATGAATGAATGAATGTACGATGCAATTAAGTTTAAAAAAAATGTTTTAAACGTAATTGCATCGTACATTTTTTTTTTTTTTTTTGCATTTTCAATTTGCATTGGATCCCCTCATCAGATTCTCTTAGTGACAATGGGACTATTACGGACTCGTTTGTACATTTTGTATTTTCTTTTCTGGTTGTCATGGTGACGGTGATTTGTTAATTACATGTACATATTGTGTCAAGTAAAAGTCGATTTTTATTTGCGGAAAATAAGTAGTCATTTGTGATAGCCGAAACGAACCCGGAACAGCATCAGGGACAACTTCGAGAGTTATTATACCCTTTCAAACAAAAAAATAATTTTCAAAATCAGTGCACAATTTTATTGATGGAGAAATTGGTGAATACACGGACATGCCTACAAAATTTTAGGATTTCCTTCGATTTTCGTGGTATTCCCTCATCAGATTCTGACTTGGTGACAATGGTACCACCACGAGAGTGTTCCCTTTAAAAAAAAAAGAATTTTCAAAATCGGTCCATAATTGACGGAGATATCTGAAAACATACATACAGCCGACCGTATAACTTAATAAAAAGAAATATAAAATAGCAGTCAGCAAAACTATATTATTATATTATATTATTATAATATATTATTAGATATTCCAATGAGATACTGCGTCAGTTGGCCAAGTGTTAGTTTAAGTTGAAAAAAAAAAGAGAAAACTAGGTGATGAAAGATTATCTACAATGAATGTGGTTTAAATCGCATGGTAACACTCCATAGACGCTCCAAGCAAACAGCTGACCAAGGGTTGATGTTTCATAAGACACCTAGCAGTTTGGTAAATTTGTTAAATGAAACACCAATTTTTAATTGATAATTGGTTTTAACGACTTGTAGTTGTTTCACACCTTGTGACCTTAAGTTGCGATTGTGTAAACAAGAATAAAGAATAAGTTGCATACTTCGTTAATACGACCTTTACAGTGATTTGAACAATAAAAAAGAAATAATTTTTAAATAATTTCGGTACTTGTATTGTTTTTTTCAATTTACATTGCATGAAAAGTCAAGTTATAAATACTATATGCCTTCGAATCATTATCGTCACCCACACATCGTCAACAACAACAGAAAATTGTATCCTCATCCCGGTAACCTATAGGTTTCTTGATTTTTTTTTCTAACCATTCCACATGATGTTTTTTATTTTATTTTATTTATTCGGGTCAACAACAGTTTACAATAACAGGAGTTACAATTCGCACCTCCGCTCAAATAGTGTATTAACTCATAAAATCACATTGTTGAAAAACAGGCAAAAGAAGTCGAACTTGTAATTTTTTTTCACTAATCGGTTAATAACTTAAAAACTAATCCGAGTTGTTAAGAACCCTTGTAGGATATTTATAAACTTACCATGTACTACAAAATTGTATACTCGGTATATTGAAATAATGAAAAATAAAATCTAGGATTTTGAGTTATGACGGTATAAGGTTAAGGAAAATGCAAGTTTTGAGAAAATATGTTTTTAATAAGAGACATTTGAAAATTAATGTGTGTAAATCAAGGCTTCAAAACAATAGCCATTAATTAGCTCCTAATAACCAGACGGTTTTCACTGATTATCTTGTAGGCAAAATAAAGAACTTCCAAAAAATCTGTCAAAATCAATTTTTCATTAAACTACTCAGTAATTTTTTTTTTTGAAGAATCATCTTTGTTGAATGAATTTACGCTTCCAATCATTATCTTAATAATCTAATTTTTTATTCTACCTATGGCACGCTCGAAACTATCAAAACTTAAAAAGAAAAATCACGAACAACAGCCAACAATGCCTTACTAACAAAAAATAGGAATTCTTTATGACAAAAATAATAAAAAAACCTTTAATAAATAATTCAGAAGCCAAATATGCGTTACATAATCATGACGATAAAAAATAAACAGAAATAAAATTCTCAAAATTAATAGTAGACAATTTTCAAACAACTAGATAGTAGTATAAAAAGACACTTAAAAGAACTTTAATGACACAATACAGCATCGGTAGAAAATAAATCAAAAATCAACACAAAATGCAACAATGGAATACAGACTTAGTCCAAAACAGAAATACCTAAGTCTATAAGTTAGTATAAAAATCAGAGTAAAAGCTAGGAATGTGATTGTTTCTTAACAAAGTCATTAAATCAGTCTTCTTATTTTCTTTGATTGGCAATTTATTGGTATAAGCTGGTTTGGCTTCGGGAATATTCGCCTTTTTATTTCGAGCTAATAAATTACTCTCGGACCATTCGGTGTCTGTATACGAGGTTTTATACATTAAAGTAGTTGGTCTATCTTTGGAGATTACCATTATATGTTTTTCTATCAATGAATGTACAGAATCACCCTCGTTTTGGGTATGCCCAGTGATTAAAAATTTGTGAGTGATCGAATTCAGCTTAAAATATTTCATTACCGCATACATGTATAGGCCAATTATGTATTTATTTTTATTTTGACCACAACAGTTGTCTGAATAAAATACTAAATCAAGAGGGTCATTGCCTGTACGAGTATTCAGTTC